ACCTTGTGTTTGACTTTGATAATAGCGCCATTCACAGAACCATCACGCTTCAATATTTTAACACGGTTCATTAGGTTCATTCGAATTCACAAAGCACTCCTTCAACAAAACAGTATCGTCTCACCTCCATCAATCCCATTTTCCAGCCTACTCATTTTTGAGGTCTGCTTAAAAAGCCATTTAATGGCACACACCAAATCGTAATTGGCATTCTAATAGCAGTAAATGACGCCGACAAATACTCACCCATCATAGACGCTACAAGCACTTTACAATCTTTGTATCTTTTTTTTTTTTACTAAAGTGGACATTTTCGTTCCCTCTTCACATCATCAGCGAGCGCGGAGATACCTGCACATAAATTCACAGAGAACGACACGTTTAACCCTCCCGCCCTCACCTCTTCCATGAAATAACCCTTTTAAATGCAAATACCTGGAGGCAACTGGCTTCTTATCGCACATTTCATTGTCTCCTTCGGGGTAGTGGGATAGAAAGCCTTTCTTCTCTTCATCTGCATGTAATTGTGTGCACACGGACACACACATACATGCAGCACCCATACAGTTTATGCTGGAGCAAAGCTTTAGAATAAATCAGAGCAAAAGAAACTGCCCTGTTAGGCTAACAGACGCTATTAATTCTCGCTGACTGACAAAAGCACGAGAAGCAGAATTTAATTTAAAGTTATCCTGGTGGGACAGCTGGCAGGGTCTTTGTTTTGATCTACAGGAGTGAGTGGGTAGCTGTCTAATCATATCATGCACTCGTGTCATTTTTGAGCCAGTGGGTAGTTTATGACCACTTGAAGGCTTTTCGGTTCCTTATCGGGCGGGCAGAGCAGAGTATAGCAGGATTTTGTATTCCTGTGCACGCTTTCAGTTTAACAAGTCAAACAGGTGTTGGGTGAAGAAAGGCTTCAAGTGTCTACAAGATACAAACAGCACTGCAACCACCTGCTCTGCCTTACAAACCTATGAAGTAACACACTTTTCTGATCCTCTCACATCCTCTAAGGCTGACTCGAGGACAGCTGCGTTTCCAAGTGACATCATTATTAAGAAAACCTGACTCTGACTGGTGCCCGAGACCACTTTCAGTGTAATGTGAGCCTATAAACATGCCCTTGCTGTCCTCTGGCAGATTAGACACAGCCCTGCGGATGTGCTCTGACAGAGTAACACTGCCATCTAGTGCTCGATGGGAGAAACACATTTGGAAAAGTGATATCCAATCCCACGCAGGAGGAGGGGTCTTTGTTTAATGCAAAAACACAATTAAACACCATCTAGAAATCATTCCAATGTGGAGCAAAACAAACGCATCATGCTGTACCCTCTACAAACAAGACAGGATGTGCAAACTGAATTGTTTTGAGAGCATTAACCATTCAAGTAAAAGACACGCTACGTGTTTGGTGTTACATGAGGGGTTTTCCCGTTACTTGCTTTCATTAGAGCCTTTATGGCTCTTGCTCTCATTTCCAGCTCCAGCAGCTCCAGCTGCTGAATCGACGGCTTACAAACGGCCGGGTCGCCGCTAGAAACGGGTCCGCTGACATCCGGGGACTGCAGCGGTGTGCTCTGTTCTTCGGCCGCGTCTTTGATGGGGGTGGAGGAGCACGCCAAGATCTCGCTCACGCTCTTGTCTATGTCGCTTTGAATGTCTTTCTTCGGCTCTGGATTTGCCGGCTCCGGCTTTGCAGCCGGGTCAGTGCACAGCCTGCTGTCGTCATCGTCGTCTCCCTCCTTCACTGCCGCAGTCTGCTCCTCTTTAACGGGCTGCTCCTCTTTGGGTCCTTCTATGTCGCTGTCGTAAGTGTCTGCGTTTATGCTGAGGACGTCGCTCTCTTCACCAGAGCCGCCATCCTCTGCGAAGAAAATTACAGTCATTTAAAATGTGAAACGTCCCTTTACGGCCTCCTTCTGTCTTTGAAGTCTATAAACGCCTCGGGGATGTTCTTTGTAGTCATTACATATTAATTACCTTGCTTTGGGTCCTCGCTTTTTGCAGTTTCCTTGAGGCACGATGTAGAGTCTACAATACTGTCTTGCCTTGGCGGGGGAAAAATAAACATGTGAAATAAAAACACAGTCACAGCGTAGTTGTTCTCTGATTAACTGTTTCACTCACTGGCTTTCCAAAGACTCTTCAGAGTTTTCATTGTCATTCCCGGCGGTCACTTCCTCCCCTTGACACAACGACACATTTTATGTGAAATTAAATGTTTTGCAGAAGTTTAAAAGTGATTTTTTTTTCTAAAATAGAAACGTGCTTCAGTCTTACCTGCTAAGATCTGAATGAGATTTTTCTCCGTGATGGGTTCCAGCTGCTCCCAACACAGCGTTTTGATTTCCTCTACACTGCATTCCTGTAAACGACAACATCTTTAAAAAGTATCTCAGATGCTGGGATACTTTAATGGCCTCCCAAGCCTTTGGCCTTAGCTCCCGTCTGCATGAGAACTAATCAGCTCTTTTTATTTTCAGATAAAGAGGAAAAGTCATACCAGCGACTTGGCAACAAATATTTAAAAATAGCAGGTAAAGTCCAGCTGTTTGGAAATGAAAACCAGTGATGTGTGCCACCACTTCACAAAACACAAACACAAATTAAATGTTAAATTCAGGGTCTACTGTAGGGCAGACAGAAAGATATTTGAGAGTCAAACTTTATAGGGAGGAAGTCTAACATTTCAACTGTGGCCTATTTAAAAGTTTGGCAAGAATCTGGGCAAAAATATTCTTTGGGTATTAATTATAATTTATTAAAGAAACACACAAGTGCTTGATGCAGGTGGTCCAATCAGTCCAGAGTCACAATAAGATGTTGAGTTTTGCAGATAACCGACAACGAAAGCTTTTTTGATCAAATCACCTTGAGTTCATCAGGAAGCATCTTCCGTAGCTTCTTCTCCCCCAGCACATGGAAGCACTGCTCCAGCATCTCCCGCTTGTCACCGACGTAAGCTGTGATGGGCTGGAAGGCCAGGCTGAGGTCCAGTCCCCCTTCCTCAATGTCACTGCCAATTTTGTCAAGCTCAGGATCAGCAAGTTCGTCCTTGGATTCCTTTAAGTTGGGAAGACAAACTAAAGCACGCAGCTGCACTCGTATACACAGAATATGCTCTGCAAACTTAAATACAGTCTCCACGACTAGGAAACAAATAATTTGAACACAATGTTGTGACTCAGGCTGTTTTCATTAATTTTTTTTTGTTAAAGAGAAGATACACTCAGTTAATTAAATAGTGTAACAGCATGAAATCCAGCAGCACAGTTTGCATTTAAAGGGATCATTAAAATTCATCCAAAGCAAATTTTACTGCTGCGTAGTGGCTGAAATCCTTTAATTGGTTCTTGTTAGCTAAAAAAATAAGTTAACTACACTAAAAAAAAGATTTAAAAAAGACAAATTAAGACTTTCCTTTTATTATATTTAGACACTGCAGTGAATAAGCAGAGCAAACAATTCATTCAGTGCGACTTACTCAAAGTATTTATAAAGCAGTAACACGATGGTTTTCCCTCAGAGAGCACCAAACCAACAGTGAGGCTTTAACGCTAAAATAAAGTTGTTGTGACGATGCAAACATAACACATAACGCAATAATAACAATAATAATCGAGAGACACTCGAGGTACACAAAACGCCAAATGCGTCAACTTTTCAATCATTTAAAACCAGTACGTAAATTTTAAACACAATTTAATTTACCCTCACATTTACCCTAAACTTATTCACATATATTTGTGGCTATTATACTCCTGAACTTCTTTTCTATGGAGTTTAGCAAGGCGCTAGTCCCGAAAGCCTCACCTCTAAACCGGGCCCCGTACTCCTGCGTTTACCGCTGTCATGTCGCTCCTCGGACTGAAGGTGCTTCCTTTTCTTCTCACTGGTGCTTGATTTCTTTTTGAGCATTTTAAACCCACTCAAATTAGTCCTCCACTGAAAGCCGCTACAACCGCCGAAGCTAAAGGTCGCGGGAAACACACGTCATAAGCGAGCGACGGCTTCTTCTTTGCGTCTTATCTGTGGCATTTATCGCCACCTACCGGACAGGAGCGGTTCCAGCTCGTGGCTCTCAGTGATGTCACTCACTGAGACTGGTTTGTTTATGCCACAGGCTTAGCTGATGGTAAAAGAATGGAGAATTCATTTAAAAGGTGAAATACGGTGCTTTTAAAATGTACTGACACAATACTGTGAGAAGTCAAAGGAGCTTGTAAAGAAAAGAGTCTGGACTTCCTTTAAGTTACTTGAAGACATTTCACCTCTCATCCGAGAAGCTTCTTCAGTTCTAAGGTCAAATGGCGGAGAGTCCCAGATTTAAACCCAGTGGGGGTATCCCCCCCAAAGAGGGACAAAAGGACCCCCTGATGATCCTCTAATCACCCTGTGAGCGACCATCTTTGAACAGAGGTGGTGGTTTACGACACCAACTGTCTGCCATTTATAATCCAGTTTTAAGTTCTCTCCCCAGGCGCCTTAACGCCCACTCACATCCGGCCCAGGATGTTATCTGACCTCAGGAAATCACAAGATAAGGTGGGGCCAGGTTTCACAATGAACTCACCCAAAACCCTGGCTGATTGGGACCCACACCCGCTTTCACACCTTGGCTCAGGCGATTAGAGGATCATCAGGGGGTCCTTTTGTCCCTCTTTGGGAGGGTCAGCCACTGGGATTAAATCTGGGACTCTCTGCCATTTGACCTTAGAACTGAAGAAGCTTCTCGGATGAGAAGTGAAACGTCTTCAAGCAACTTAAAGAAGTCCAGACGCTTTTCTTTACAAGCTCCTTTGACTACGATGACCTGGATGACTGAGAACCTTCACAGACAATACTGTGAGAAAGTTTTGAGCCAGCCCTGGATTTCTTCATATATTTAAATGTAAACACAGCATATGAGGTAAAAACAGAGTTTGTACATGTCTAACCAGCTTGAAAGACAATATTTGTTATGACCACACCTTTAATCTTCAGCACAGCCTGAACTCTCTTAGAGGCTTTCTTGTAATTTCTTATTGCCCCCCCCCCTTTTTTTTTTCTTTTTACAGCATCCTGAGTTTTGGGGAAATCGTGTTTCTCATGGTTCCTCACTGCTGAATCATTAAAAGAGCGCTGTAACATTAATAAGCACTATTGTGTGAATAACAAGCGAGTTCAGTCTATCAGTTCCCACCTGCTAACTAACAGCTCTGGCTCCAGGTGCAGCAGCAAAGCCCGCGGGGCTTGATGCTACGCCACATTCACCTGCAAACGTCTGTAATTCTGACTAAAACCTTCTCTCACAGCGTGTAGAGCGCACATACATTTCAACTGTAGCCCGTCATCATTTTACTCTTCAAAGCTTGCTCGGATTACACTGACAGTCAGCCACTTCCCTTTCTACATGGCAGCCATGTGAATTCACATGTTTCCCATCCCATCACCGTGTCATCAAACGCTGCGTATCTGATTTATCACTGCAAAACCTTCAAACCTGCTGCCTACATCTTTGAAGTTAGCATATTTATATTATAAAAAAGCATAATAATGATAGATTATTGCAGAAAAGCTGCACAAGCAACAATCAGAAACAAAGGGACGCATCTAAAGTTCTGTAAGTTTAATTTAATGAAGGCTGATGTTATTTACTCGACCCTCTTTGCTTCACTTAAAGAATATGTTCACATTAGCTTCTCCTTGGAGCAAAATTACACTATATTTAGCCAATAAATAAACCTGCTGCCAGGTAGCCAAGCATTTTATTTGTCTGGACTGGAACACAAGTTTCAAGGTGTTGACGACACAAGCAAGCTGTAAATCACTCTAATTGGCTTCCCGCCTCTTCCTGAAATAAGGCGGGAGCCAATACCGTGGCTGCCCGGGCTCTGTGGCGACAGCTGTCTCCACATAATGCAGGTTGTTATCCTGATGCCATCCACCGAATTATGCAGTGGATGCGGTGGGAGGCGCGCATCGATCACAATCACGTCACAGTGTGTTTTCCTTGCAACATCTGCTCCCGTGTGTCTGGATATCACCTCATTAAAAGGGCAACGATGGAGCCGGCACTGTGGAGGAGGGCGCCGCGTTTGGAGAGCGGAGAAAAGAATCAGAAGAAAAAGAGGGGAAAAAAACACAACAACAACAACAACTTTGACAACTACAGCCAAAACGTTTCCATCAAAAGTGATGTCGCTTTGTGACGGTTCTGCTCGAAGGGAACAAAAGGCACTCAAGGCTCGGCTGTTTAATGAAGGATTTCAGCTAATTGAGACGCACGGCCATTAGCTGAAAGCCTTTTGCTGTTTTTCCTCGTTTGGTTTGCTTTCGTAATGCATGCAAAATGATAAATCATAGAAATAAAGACGCATTCTTCAGTCACTGAAGGGGAGATTAGAGATTAGAAAACTCTGAGAGCTAAGAAAGTTATTTATCAGTGGAAACAAGAAAGAAAACAAGACTACGACTGAACAGGAAAGCAAATGGAAACGACACAGCTGCTGTTGGATCTAATGCAGGAACTGATAGTGGAAGTATTTCCTACATTGTTCTCAGTTTAAAATACTGTCACACCGTAGCTCACACTCTAAGTGCGCTCTTCTGCACTTTATTGCACTTTTCCTCCCACTATTCTCGCAATCAGCCACATGTGGCTAAGTTAACATGTGCACAGTAATCTGGCTTCTGCATAACCGAAGCAAAGGGTGGTTTTGCCACACAGTTACATAAAAATCATCCAAAGGAACGACTTCCATCGTCTTTAGATCGACTGAACATTGCGACATCTGTAGAAAAGCCTTTAAAAATAATTATCGTCCTCAAATAAAAAGCACCTTCATTAAATTCGGAGCTTATTTATCAGCTTATTAATTTCATCGCCTCAGGGACGCGAACACCTTTCACCAAGCGAGCAAACACGCAACCCTCCAATCAACACCTGCCACTGACAAGTCAACACTTATTGACAGCGGGCTTATTTTTAGTGAAGAATAACAACTTCACTGCCAACTGTGATACATGGTCCAACTGTGTGTTTCTACCCAAACCAACTGACACATATCAGAGACTGAGGCAGAGCTTTAGACAAAGCTGTGCTTTCTCAAATGCCAAATGCTCTCCGAATGTGGAAAAAAAACCCCACAGTTTTATCACTGTAAGTGCAGAAGAGCGAGAAAATGTGGGTAGTTTTATATAAGATGACTTCAAACTGATCAGTAATAATAATTAAAGCTAAAACTGGTGTTTTCCCTCTAACCTAAAGTCTAAACATTCAGAAATAAAGTGACTATAATCATAAAAATGAAGCAACGCTGACCTCTTGCTGCTTTGTTCGGGAGGTCGAGGAGACCGAGTAAGCCAGACGGCTTCGTGCTCGCTCTTTATTGGTTTTCAGCTCATCAGATCAGAGTGGCTAAAGCTCAGGGGAGAGCACAGAACACAGCGAGTCATGACTCCATATCTAACAGTCGCTGGAGCTGGAGCAGGCTGAGAGGCTATTGACACTCACCCGCTTTAGTATTGTGCCACTGGTACAAAGATCCGGCTAAAGACATAACAACCAAGGAGCGAAGACGTGACGCCAAATAAAGAGTGAAATGTAAAATGTGAAAGCAGTGGATCAACGGCCATCCAGACTGTGAACATGCTTTCAGTGAGTAGCCTCAGCTAACATCCATGCTAACAGTTTTGTTTTTAAAAAGCCAATTAAATTTAAGCTGTAACTACTGACTGGTGTTCTGTCTTAAACACTGCTCTCGTCCACGTTTATTCTTTTGTTATCAAGCAAAAAAAAAAACAACATAAGCACTAACTTGCTTCTCCTTGAGTCAAACATTTGAAGAACAGGTGATAAATATCCGGTCTTAAGTGATGACGTGACGAATCCTACTTCCGGGCCTAAAGTAGTCTGCGTTTAATATGGCTTTTGTGTTGTTAACATGTTTAATGTTTTGTATTTTCTTCTATTTAGATCTCAAAAAGCTCCTAAAACAGTCAGTGATCCCTGTTGACCTCCCTCGGCTTTTATTACCGCTAATCATTTATTTAAGCTCAGTTTTTAAAACCTTAGGATGTAACTACAGCCCAGCCCATGCAGCAGTATATGAATGACTAACCTCGTATTGTGGATGGATTATCTCAGTTGTTCTCCTGGCTGAAGTTTGGTCCTTTTACAGCATCCTGCCATGCGATTACATTTGTTCCTGACCACCGAGAACACTCACGTTAACTTTTATCGAGTGGAAAAAAAGTTAGCTTGTTTATATTATGCTAACATAGCTGTGTCGCTAGCGGTCACGTAGCACATCATTATATACCAGCTAGCCCAACTTCAGTAACCCTACAAACGTCACTGCTGTTTAGTTTTCTGTCTTCATTTATGCTGGAAGTGATAGACAGAGCTGTACGTTTTAATTTGTTTCCAAAACCCCGCAGTCAGGACATGCTATATTGTATTTAGATAGAAGCTAGCGAGCTAACTCCCTGCTAACTTCTAACTCCGTTAAATGTCATAAATTCCGTTTTCATGGATGCCTGGATGTTAAACTCAATTGTTACACCTGGTAGAGCAGAACGCTGATCATTTTATTAAAGATGAAAGACTTTAGACAGTTTTTCAACTCTCAGTAATGCCATAGTGATCGTTTGATATATGGACCTGCAGCGGAGTTTAGGCCAGACACGGCTAGTGACTCAGACTTAACGACCGGATTAGGTACGCCTCTTCAGCTGCTCATTAATTATTATATATTCTATATTATAATTGTTAGGAAATGAAACGATACTTTTGAATTTTTCCGCTTGTATTCGTGGAGATGACATACTGTAATGTTCAGCTGTTGTGTCAAGATAAAGAAGAAGATTACATTAGGAACATGTGGCACACACTGACTAAATGTTTACATTCAGCGGTTTTGAAAAACAAGCTATAGCTGCACATAAACCGCTGAATAAAGGCTCTAAGGGGCCACTCGCTCTATGTCTGGCTCTGGATCAGACTACAGCAGCTCTGCTGCCTCCCTCATTCAGCATGCTGTTAACTGAAATATCAATTGTTCACACTTA